CCAGTTTGACTGGCATCATTCATGAGCTTTTCCGTTGTGGGATAGTTTTTTACTGTTGACCCCACAAAATGTAAAGGGATAGTAGCTAAGAACAGAAGCTACAATTTAAGGTATTCAATTTCAGCTCTTACTGTTCACATAAAAGGTGAAGGAATAGGAGCTCGGAGCTTTAATTATGATGGACTTGGTTGCAGCAGTTGTTTGGTGTAGAATGGATAGAAAACCTCGTCTGGACCTTTTACTGAGACAATTAAACGACCCCCAATCCCCAGCTCCCTCCCAAAGGTATGTTGTTGCTGAACAACCCCATATCATTACTACACTACCACCGTGCTTATATTGATCTGTAGGTTTTAGGTAGGTTTCATTTTGTGTTCATGTCTTCCAGCAGTTTCCTCATTGCTTATTAAATTCCAAAGTTCTTCCCATGTTCTGCTATTTTTGCTTGTCCAGCTACTCTGTAACCCTAAGAGAATCATATTTAATACATGATTTAAGACCTCTACATCATCAGCTGTAAACTTTCACCTCTCATTATGTATAATTTTAATCATTTTTAATGTAACCTTTTTATAGGCGGCCTACTCCGAATCAGAACGATGGTGACCAATTGGAGGCCATGAACCTCTGCATGCATCTGGTTCATAACCTGAACACCTGAATCAGATTACTGATTCATTAGCAGTCCTCTTTAGCAATTTATATTTGTAATGAGGTAGTGTAGCCATGCAGAACACCACCCAATAAGACAGGTCTAGTTCTCTTCATCTTATTTCCTGCATCTTTTAGATGCATCCCTTCTCCAACACCCGAATCAAATAAAAAAGTCGTTCTCAGTTCTCTGCAGAGCTCAATGACTGCATGCCAATAAGGGATTCCATCTCTTTGTTTCAGCTGTGCTGGAGCAGGGATGCGTCTAAAAGTTGCAGGATGGTAGCTCTGCAGGACTGATTGGACACCCCTGGATTAGGCTGACATCTGGTGGTTTGCTCACTATGCTGCAATCAGAAGCTTACATCTGGTACTGGTTCTGTAAATCCTTTCTTTTCTGCCTCTAAATGTTCTTTGAATGTTATTCACACCTTTGGGTCAGCGGGGAGTGGTTCAGCGTGTCGTGCCTCCACAAAGCTCTGTGAACACCATCTCTTGTTGCCGCTCTGCTTACTCCATCTAAGGTTAAAACTGTGTCATCTCCTTGGCTGATTCCTTCATGGATGGTTCTCCATGACGGCTCAGCGGGCTCCTCTGTATAAGCCTCCGTCTTCTCAGCGGGGGTCTGGTCCACTTCAGCTCGCTTTAAAGTCTCCCGCCTCCTGTCGGGTGACTGAACCCAGGTGTCCACATAGTCTGCCCCCAGTGTCAGCATCCTCCAGGAGCCAAAGGTGGCTGAGCGGACCGCTGGTGGATGAAATTAAACATTTAAGAGTGGTTTTATGGACACAAAGAACAGCGACAGTGGAAAAGGAGAAAATATTCTTAATAATCTAACTTTTTCTTTTAAGTCAGACTTTTATCTCAGAATTTGAAGTAATTTGATAAAATTTTGTGAAGTGAATTTTGTTGCATTTTTGTTGAATGAATGGAAATAACAAAAGAAAGAAGTCCAGATATAAAACAGTGGAAAAACTTCTTTTAAAAAAGGTCTCCACAGTAACTATTCTGTTATCTAAATTCTTTTCATATTTAATTTTTTAAATTTATTTCCTTACATTTCTCTTTTTCAGACTGAGTTATGGAAATGGCATTCTTTTCAATTTGTATTTTACAGCTCACAATTGTTAATTAAGAATTGTATTCAAGTTTCATTGCTGGATTGCATTTTTTTTTTCCATTTCAATTTGCAAAACCTGTTTTTGTTCTTTTTTTTCTCAATATTCTATTTTTGCAAAATTCACTGCAACGGTGGAAAAAATTTCACTTCAAATCAAAATAAACAATTGTGATTTTCCAACTTTCATATCAAATTGGTGGTATTTCCTAGCTGCATGTTAGTTTACGGTGTTGGATAGTTGTGCAAATCAACACCACTGTTCAATATTACATCTAAAAAGTCTGTGGAAAAAAGTCATAACTCTAAGAATTATTCTTTCCATCATGGTCTAAATCTTTTTCTGTATTTTTTGAAAGGGAAATATTTCAAAATAGGCTTTTCTCTCATTTTTCCTCTAGCAGCCCTTTCTGATGATTAACATACATGAAACACTTTAATTCTGACAGAGACTATTTGCCTTTAACAAGAATTAATAAAACAAACAGTTTATTTATTCTTTTGACAAACTTTAATGTGGTATGTTTTTTTCTATTGAATGGATAGTTGAACTACTTGTTGATGATGATCTTACTTAATTTAGGCAATTTAATTTATGTTTTTGTTGGAAGAGATGCTCTCAGAAATAAGATTTATTTCAGTGGTAATTTGACAGTTAAACCCCTAGTATGATCCAAGTAGGATCCAGACACGAAAGGCAGACTGAAGTTTGCCGGAAGACAAACACCAGAAAAGGAAGAAAATAATTGATTTACAAAAAATGTTTGATTAATTCTTTAGCAAACAGGGACCTCTGTAGTGTGGGGGAACCATAAAGTGCCAGCCTGGTACCTCTTCCTCCTGCCTGGTGACACACCTCTGTGGGACGTCATCCTATCTTCAACAAACATGCTTCAAACATCCAATGGGGTTGTTCCGGTTACTCTGACATAAATATCCAAGCCGAATGCTGGGATCTGGACTGCAGGCCGGTTATTTCATCATCTACACCAGGCATCCCCAAAGACGGTCCTGGAGGTCGGCTGTCCTGCAGGATTTAGAGGTTTTCCTGCTCCAGCACAGCTGATTTACATTAATAGTTGATTAACAGGCGTTTGCTGAACTGCAATCATCAGAATCAGCTGTGCTAAAGCAGAGAAACCTCTCAAATCTACACCTTCAAGAATGGGAGTCAATCTCTGGTATACCTGTGGGGTAGTGAGCACTATCTATGCAATGAATCTTTGGATTACGATTTCCTCCCACAGCAACAACAAGCCTTGTTTCTCCAAGAAGTGAAATGCTGCTCCACATCATCACACTGCCTCCACCAAAATCTCTTTTGCAGAAAGGATTTGCCAATCTTTCATCGGCTAAACCTGGCCGCTCGACCCTGCAGATAAATCAGCTAAAACTTTCCTTTGTGTTCTTTTAAAAAAGCCTTAATTTGTGCACTTTTAGTGGAGCATGGAAAATCCACCATAACATTCTGTATTTTTAAATGATCTGGCTCCTGAATTCGGATTCTTAAACTGGTTCTAATGTACTATTTCATTATATTTCATTTCATCATCGTTTTTGGAACTTTATTCAATAAAATTTACATTTTACTATTGTTTTATGAATGCTTTATTTTTGTTGTCATTGACAGGTTGATCGCTACAAGGCTTTACCTCTTTAAACAAATGTCATAAATGAATAAGTAAAAGATAAGGGGAATATTTATTGCCAAGTAGGAGCAAAAAAGGTGATCTAATTCTAATTAAGTTGCTTTGTTGAGAAAATAAGATATCCAAAAGCATTTCTAGCAAGAAAATGATGCTGATGTTGTGTAACAGAAGGAACAACGTTAAACTGTTTAAGACGTATTAAAGCTGTCATAAAAAGGCTATAAAGTCTTCAGTAGCAGCAGGAATGGATATGAGCTCTTGTTGATAACTTAAAGGGTGTTTTTAAGTTTGTTTTAAGTTTATTTTACAGGCAAAATGCTGATTCTGCAGTGAGAAAGGCCATAATTTTAAGAGCGTATCCCTTTCAAGTTTTCAGATATGAGTAGATACAGTAAATAGGCAGCAGGACTATTTTTCTTTTAAAATGAATGATACAAAAATTTAAACATTTTCTGCCCTGATAGTACATTTGCGAAGGTTGCAAGTACCCGGTTCGATCCCCACAGCCTGCACTCTGGGTCTCTGAGCAAACACCCTGAACCTCAAACTGCTCCCCATCCGCCGCACAATGGCAGCCCACTGCTCCCCAAGGAGATGGTTTGAATGCAGAGGTAAATTTCTCCAGTGTGAGATTAATAAAGTTCAATAAAGATGCAGGAATATCCTGAAGACACAAGGAAAGTGAGGATGTTAAGAAAGGACCTGGACGTACCATAAACCACTGTGGATCTTCTCTCTGCCCATCTGGAGTTGTAGGGTACTGATCTCCTCATATCTGCTGGACTCTATAAGGTATCTCAGGTGTTTTAGGTGGTTCTCCTGACAGGAGGCTGCTGCACGGCACCAGAGGTACAAGACAAGAACAGAAACTTTTAGTTTTGTCCCCGACTTAGGAATGCGGAAAGCCTGCTTCCGGTCCTCCCAGTTAAGAAGCTGCTATCAGACCCTCCATCTTTAACGCTGAGGGAAAATTCTCTGAGTCAGTTAGCGGCTCTGTTCACTGGCAGTCAGGAAGGGAGCAATCATCGCTTAGTTTCCAAACCGCTAAAAGCTCTGCAGTTTTTTACTTCCTCATGTTTTCAACCCCCTGAATGCAAAAAACAAGCTTGTGTTTCAGACAACAGCTAACGGCATTCAAAGTCTAATTTTACAAAAATCAGCTGTCGTACACTAGAGTTTTATTTTAAACAAAATCATATCTTGCATTTTCAGGGCTCCATCTCTCGAAACAGGGTTTGCAGAAATCCAGAGTAAGTTCTGGAGTAAATTTCTGTAAATCATAGCTTTTCCGTTTGTTTTGTAATGTTTTGCAAATGGATATTCAAAGCAAATGTAACCCAGAAATGAAACTTTTTTAATCAAACTAAGGTTTTTGGGAGTAATTTTGCTGTTTTCTCAGATTTTTATTTGATTATTTTATTTCCCCCAATTTCATATCTTTATGCTTTACTTTTTCAAAGAATAATTTCACATATATATTATTTTTTCAAATTTTATATTTTTCTTATTTCAGGTTAAGATTTACGAAGTGCATTCTTGTCAAGTTGTGTTTTATAGATGACATTCTTTCCACTTTAAGCCAAATACAAATGTTTGCGCTCAACATGCACAGTGATGAATAAAAACGTTGCCGACGCCCATGAAGGTCAATAGAAAAGCCTCTTTGCTGCGCATTTAATAAAAAACAGTCCTTAGAAGTGGAGAGTATCTGCTCTGTAAAACACAATCCGAAAAAAATTTAATTCATAAAACTTAATCTGTAAAATAGATATATGAAAAATAAATTTTGAAAAAAATTTGAAAAACCTTTTTGATTCAATCTTTTCTCAAAGTTTCATTTCTAGATTGCATTTTTTTCTTTACAAATTTCCATTTACAAATTACGTTCTTTGTAACAATAATGGAAATAACTTCCCTCTATATCACCTTGAGTAAAATAATGAAAGGGTTGTTGTAAGATCATGGAGAGCCCTCTAAATGTGATTGGTTTATCTCCAAAACGTGAGGCAGCATCTGAGTTAACAATAAAATCTGAACTGCACTTAAACTGTTTTGTTCTAACTGAACTTTCAGATATAGCTAAACTATTGTCTTCATCTAAGCTTTAACTTGTATGTTAGATCCAATTCCAACCAGGTTATTTAAGATAGCATTCCCTTTGATCTCCTCCTTTATTTTAGATTTGATTAATCTATCTTTGTTTCAGGGATATGTAACTAAGACTTTTAAAGTAGCTGAAAAAAACCTTTAATTAAGAAAAAAACTCTTAAACCAGATGACTTGTTGAATTATAGACCTATATCCAATCTTCCTTTTTTATCTAAAATCTTTGATAAAGTAGTTGCCAAACAAGCGACCAACTCCACCATAATTAACATTTTGAAGAGTTTCAGTCTGGCTTTAGAGCTCATCATAGCACTGAAACAGCTCTGGTGAAAGTCACTAATGATTCTCATGGCCTCAGATAATCGACTTGTATCTGTGCTCATCCTGTTAGATCTAAGTGATACATTTATACATAGACTTGAACAGCACTAGGCTGGTTTAAATTTTATTTTTCTGACAGATTTCAGTTTGTTCTGTTGTCGGAAAATTTTATTTTTGTTCTTCCCTTCTCAGTATATTGATGTATGCTATGTATTCTCTAAAAATGTTTTTTTCTCAGCTAGTTTGTATCACTTGCAAGGCTACAAAATGTCTGAGTGGAAGATGGTTATAGACAAGACAAACCTTTTTCCCATAACA